CTCGTTGTCGTCACGGAATAGCGGGTGGGTGGGTGGATGGATGGATGGGTTATGGGAGTCAACGGGGGTCAAGTGTACTCTAAATACCAGGATGGATATGATAACACAGGTTGAGGGGTCGGTGCACACGCAGGAAGTAGACACAGGGCCAAGATACCCACGAATACATCACCCCGAGCCCTATCATGCCTGCAAACTTTCGACAGCCTCCTCATTATCTCTTTGACTAGCTTCTTCTTAGCGCTGCGACGGCACGCCTATTCTCTCACATCCTCTCCCAGGGTCCGGAAAGCTGCCCTGCGGACACTCTCCTTGACGTCCTGTGTCCGGAGCACCAACTGCGTGTAGATTTCGCGGCGGGTGCGTCAATGAGGGGGAGGGGGGCGCAAACGGGATAAACGGGCCACGAGATACATACATGTCGAATGCCGTGAGTCCATCCAACACCAGTTCTACATTTAGGAGGTCGTGGACATCCCGAGCCTAGGACACCACGCATCCTTACCACGACTGGTGTCGTCCTTTGCTGAGAACTGATACTGATGGTGCAGCCGACACATAGCACTTCATGAAAAAAAAGTGAAGCACACACACACACACACACACACACACACCGCCCACCCCCAGAGCACATGGGCGAAGGTCGCACAAACACCTTCTCCCGCCAAAACCATCGATGAAGACCTCGACATAAAAACGGATCTACCCACCCCCGAACAGATAAAAAAAATCCACGCGGAAGAGGACAATCAAAAACATCAAGACAAGTACGAACTCCTTTGGTGTCCACTTCCCCAGCATTTGGGCCACCGGCCCAAGAGGCAGATCCGTTACCACAAAATACACCTTTGAGGCAAAACAATTTCATTCTATCGTGGCCGGCGACACAAGGCTTTATAACGCGCGAATACTCTGAACTGGGAAAACGCATACTTGGTGCAAACTGTCCAGCACGTGTCGGAAATTCTTGGGTAGCAGCAGTTGACAAACACGAACATGGCTAAAGAATCAAGCTGTTGCCGTGACACGAGGTCGGTCGCCTTGGGACCAAAGCCTGTGTCCGCGCGAGCCAACAAGACGCTTGCTCACGAGCACCAGGCATACGACCGTGCTGTTCCTTACACTTCGCACAACGTAGGACCTGATCAGCAGTCCTAAATGCGGAAGGAGAACAACACGGGTGTGTCAATCAACACCCCCTACTGGACGTACCTGATCGAACATGCCGACCGTCTTGGTCACCGCAGCCAGCGCCGCCTGACGCACATCCGGACTGCTGTCGCTCACCATGGCCCTCATTAGCTCCGACCGCACCTTGTCGTCCTTCAGGGCATCCTCGTCGTCGCCGGCCTCAAGCCCGAACTGAAACGGCCGCAGGGCGCCGACCGCCTGCACCCGCACCGCTGCGACCTGTATCATCCAACACAAACAGCACGGGTGGCGACGGGGTAGTAGGGAACTTCAGCACGTGTTCTGAGCTCAGTTGGTGATATACAACGCACCCCCTTTAAGAGTTGGTAGGATGAGAATCGCTCCCATGCAAAAGAAACAAGAGACACCGTCAACAGCAGTCGCGCCCTTGACACGTGTCTGCCCTTCTTTGCGCAAGGGTTTGATAGTTTTTGTCCTGTTTCTCGTAGGCATGGTCAGCGAGACGGGGGGGGGGCGTATACACACAGACGGTAGGGCAGCGTTTGGTAGGGGTGGTGCACGCATCATCGCCGAGCCTTGACCAAACGTTCAACGAAAAAAAAAAAGCGAATATAAGCAGTCGGTGTGCTCGCGGGGGTACTTGGCGACCACCCGGTCGTTTTGACGGTGGCCTCAGCGAGGGCCTTCATTGTTGCCCAGGTTTCCTTTCGTTTCGTGTTGGTCTCTTCGACCAATGCAGGCTAGTGGCGGCGGTCTGTAGTCCGTTCAGCAAAAAGAAAGAAACAAGGCCCTTGTTCAGCTTTTCCTTCGACAAAAGGCGCCGGGTGGTGGGGTGGCCACGAACCTGGAAAAATCAACTTTACCTCATCCGCCGGAAACACCGCCGTAAACACCAGCCGCCTCACGAACTAGCCAAGTTAACACCTGGCAAACGTAGTCAACCGACATCACGCGCAACATGCATACATCTAGACTCGCGGCACAAGAAAAAAAAAACGCCACCTATAATCTTCATCTACACCAATCGAACGGACCTTGTCTCTAAGGCGGGGCAGCAGAACGTCCACGAAGCAGTCCAGGTCCTCCTCGTCCACCTGGGGACGTTGCGTGTATTCCGTCGTGAGAGCGCCCAGGAGCTGGCAGCAACGGAAGCGAACGGCCTTGTCCGCCGCGCCGGAGTACAGCAGCAGGAACTCGACCGTACGGTCGAAAAGGCTGGCTGGACGCCAGCACAGGGGGTGCGCACGCACGACCATGATCAAGGCGAACGGATAAGCAAAAACAAAGGTGTAGCTGTGGGAGTTGATCGAAACCGGTCGAGGCCAAAGATCGTCCGGGGTTCAACGGGATGCAAGAGGGCTCACCGAGAGAGATATATATATAGAGAGAGAGGTAGAGAGAAAGAGAGAGGGACAATGACCAAGCCGCACTGCTGTAATGGGCTAATCTCGCCCTCCTTTTGTCGATTACTTATCCATGCGTTCTTAGCTTCTCACCCACGTACAGCGATACACAATATACATTTGTATTTGCAAGGATGCCTAACGCACGATGCCATGGACCCAGCGCAGCAGCCGACAGCGTATGACTGAGGTGCAGCCAAGACCGATGTCCATCAAGTACATGAGTGATAAACACAACCTCGATCCCCGTTTACGGCGAGAATCCTTTGCTCTATCGCCCCATGCCATGCCGGAGACGGCCTGCAAACTTACGCCGCCGGCAAAAGAGAGGTCCAAACCAGCACTGGTCATGCCGAGCCGATACCTTGAGGTTATGGGTCCGGCGGCGGGGTATCGCACACTCGAAAAAAGCGGCATCGCTACATGTACATGTATCTGCACCGAACCGATATCTTACCGTTCGCATCGGAGCCCGCGGCCAGGGAAACGAAGCGCACTAGACGCTCCACGCCAGGGTCGCGCTTGGAGACCACCAGGATGCGGGTCAAGCACGCGAAGTACTCATCCCAAGCCGACTGCAAACCGTCGTTCGTCAAGGGTGGAAGCGGGCAGTAACAACACGCGGGGCGGCGGCGAGGCTGGGGGTTTCCTACACCTCCGTACAAACCTCTGTGCAACGACTTATTGCTAACGACAGACAAACCCTGCTTGCTCCGTACTCTGCGTTTCTCAACAAAGGCAAGAGTGTCGCTGCCTGCCGGTGTGGTACATCGCTGTCGTAGGCGGCGGCGAAGCAAGAACAATCTATTCAGTCACAAAAACCCACGGAACAGCGCTCAAAGCGGTAAGGTTTTCTGTCCCGACAGATCCACGGACCCTCGCCTTCGCCGTGCAATCCTGACGTTAACCGACATATACCCTTGTGTCCTTCGTGTTAGCTGCAACTTCGTTGGGCAACACTGCGCGCGAGCGAGATACGCACCTCATGCTTAGAGAGCAGCCGCGGAAGCGAGTCGCTGCAACGCCGGTGGCACTGGACCGTCCTTTGGGCCTCCACGAAGAGCTTGCGAACGGCCTGGCAACACGTCTGGGACGGACGGCGGCGATGGGGTCGAAGTTCCGGCGTCATCGTACTTCGAAACTCGCATGACATGCCTTGAGTGTAGGTTCGACTCACAAATTTGCCTGCCGTGCTCGAGTATCTTAAATATAGATTCGATTGGTAAATTGTCCTGCCGCAATCGTCAGCAGATTTCACTGACACAATAAAAAGAAACCTCATGTATCGAGTAGATTAATAGTTTAGACCGTCCCGAAGGAGGTCAGTTCCATTCCCCTACCCGCTTCGTACTCAGACGATTGTCTTTTTCAACCTTGGTTGAAACACGAACTTCGTACAATAATAATCACCCTGCTGTCGTACGCGAGACGTGCGTAAAACGCTGGATTGCTAGAAAGGCAAAATTTATCTATTTGCTTGACAACCTACGACGGGAACCGAGAGACGATGGCCGGAGGTACCATGGATGGAGGGGAAAGGGCTTCCTCCTGCCATCAACTATCCTAATTGAAACTTGAACAAAACAAAAGTTGAAGGAGTTGGCCTGCGCGGGCCGCCCGCTGTTGTGCTTCGTATCGATGTTTCCACGCACTGTGGTTCAAGTGTCGCACCCTATGTAAAAAGAAGGAAAGCGTCTGTCCGAATGAGATACCTCTTTGAAAAAAAAAATAAGAGCTTTCAAGAAGACCGCAGCAGTTCATGACTCTGTCAGCTTGCACTAGAAGTATGCTATGCATACGCATGTTGAAAGGTAGTTCGTTCGGCAAAGACGTGCATTGTATTTTTTTGCGGGAAGTTAAGGGAAGGGGTGCGACGCCTGTAGCTTCCATCGTTCTTGGGACAACCTAGACTCGTGCTGTTCCACGGCCTCAGTCCGAACGCATTGCTACTTGTACACACCATGCAGTGCTTCCTCTTGCTGTGCAGGAGGGAACCTTTGAAGTACCGTCTGGACAACGGACCATGAGATAAGATGTGACATTCCTTGTCAGGGACAGCAGGTTTTTACGGTTTCTCTCGATTTCCATTGTCACTAACGATAGATTCTCGAAGGTGCTGTTGACATCCATGTTGAAACGCAACAGATTTGCGAAGGATACGTCGTAAGTCTATCAAAAGACTTTCAAAGTTCAAAGGCTCAATCGGTATCCATTATCAACAGGGAAGGATGTATGAAAGTGTTATCGATAGTTAATTGCAAATTTGACCACATTGTCTGACATTGCTGGCCGCAACATAACTATGGATGGACGATGCTGGCCGAAATAGCTACCGATCGATTGCTGGTCGCAACGCAGATTTAGATTGCGCAAAGTAAAGAAGAGTGTAGACTGCATATCTCCTGCAGGCCACATGCACAGCAATCTGTACTGAAGCTCCCATCTACTGGAACAACGGGGTACGACCATGCCATCACCTACCCTACACATACGATACGCAGCTAGAACCTCTTTTGTGTGTACGGTTGTAGACCTGCAAATGCCTGTTACGTGCCAAGGTCATGTGGTACAAGTACGGCTGCAGAGCTGCCAATGCTGATGGGGGGGGATGGATACATGCAGCGGCGTGGACCCAGTGAAACTAACATTTTCGCCATGTTTTGGCTGCCTTATGAGGCACCTGACACCCTGCTTGCTGCCCAAAACACTGGAGACGCGGGTTACATCGAGCGTTGAGGTGAAAGCTTGCCCTGCATCTACAGAACCACCGCTGTCCCTGTGAACAAGGTGCAACAGAGACATCGCCGATGAGAGATGTTGGCAGAGAGAGATACGGAAGCAGCTACATATGGGAGCGATTGATGTCGCAGCAGAGAATCTCCTCACCTGCACTTCTGGTGCCAACTTCTGCTCCTTCCGTGCATCGGCGGCAGAAGCCGATGATTCCCTCTTGACTCGAGGCATGGTTACTCCCGGGGAAGACAGATGATATCTTCCAGCAAGGCTGTGCTGTTGTTGTTGTTGTTGTTGTTGTTGTAGTTGTGACGTAAAATCGAATCAAGCTTGGACCTGCGTGGGCCTCGCCCTCCCCCTCGCCTTTCGTCCTCTCCTCTTTCGCTACTCTAGTCCGGCCTCCCAGATAGCTGAAGAACCGACGGTGTGTCCCCTTCAACAAACCGCCTCGGGTAGCACCGTACGCAGGCTACTACTTAGCCCCGTGGTAACAAGGGTAAAGGGTTGGGTTGTCGACAACCCTCGCGGAGCAAGCAAATGGCAAACGGCAAAATACACAAAATTTGATATTAGCGGGGGGGGGGGGGG